ACTTCCCATTGATTGCCAGGAAATGTGAAACAGAATAGATTCAGATCCAAAACAACAAGATGCCACCCAAAAAGGCCCTTTGGCAGAAAATAATAATGYTTGATATCATGGAAAAGACCCTTTGCTGGAAAATAATAATGGTTGATACAGACAATATTGACATTAGAACCCAAAAAACAGAGTCTCAGTTCATTGAATTTGATCCCTTTCTTTCCATTTCCAGGCAATTTGAAACATATTACATAGTGCTCCAAAACAAGAYACTGTTYTGTTTCCACAAGATGTTAGTGCAGGGAGAGTCTTGGGGGAAAGGGGTGCTTCCAATSTAGTACCTTTGGAGACTAGTATGGTAACCTTGTATGTTGGTAGTATGATGTKAAAGGTACAAGTGGTACACCATTGATAGCAGTACAAGTAAGAATMATGGTGCCGCAATGTATGCTTRCAAAGATGACCACCTTTTGAGAGTATGGCAGCCAGGGGRTTTGTGTTGCAATCCATTTGTAGCTGTTTGTACAAGTGATACTAGGCATTGCTCATCCTATACCAGCAGGGCAGACAGGCTACAGAYAAGTCCACTACTACAGGGTCACATAATTTTAGCCACATKAAAAAAGTGGTACATATAAGAAAACCAGTAGCAACAACTGGGGGGRGATTAACCTGTTTGGGGCAGAAGAAGGATAAGGTGAGAGATGTAGAGAAGGAAGCAGGAAAGRTTAATACAGTGAAAGTAGTGGGAATGTACTAGTACCCAGAAGTATGGGTACTGTGATGGATGGAACAAGGGTCCCATCAAAAACACTGAATTTGATATGGAAGTGATTTTTGGGTTGTGCAGCAAAAACATAGACCTCAAAAAGAGATTAGACAAAACAGGAGGACAGGAGAAGAGTGTAAGTAGGGTGACCAAGAAGGTGAAAACAGATGACACCAAAGTGCTAGCARCAACAGCATAGAGTGTATGGTTATGGTGGCAGTAATCCCAGGGGACAAAATATCAAAAGTGAATAAGATGTTGCTCACAACTGCCTTCCAAACGTACATTGAATCCATTTTTTTGTGACATGAAAATTCTAATGAGTGATAAGATCAACATATACATTTATGAATGTGATATCAAGGACAGGGTGTTAGGATGTGTCAAGAGGAGTTCTGYGGGGAGGACAGGTTTTGCCTATACTTGGAGAACACATTACTACCAAAAKTGCTGAATAGAATACCACACAATGCTCAGAGCTACACAAAAAGAAAATGGCTTGGTGCATAACATTGGAGGGGATGTTGGCTGATGAACCTGCTTTGCCCATAACAGTCTAGTCATAGTCTTGTCACTTTTCCTTCCTCAATCCATAACAGACAAGAATGGAAAAGTAAACGCCCCAGCAAAATTCCCAGGAATTGTGGGCATTTCTGGTTGGGATCCCAAGGATAAAGAGAAGAAGATTCTACACCCACTCTACATGGCATAGTACAGAAGCACAAAACCAAAGTTTTATTATTTGGTGCAAACAATCCAGAGTTCAATTATTTCCTTGTAAGAATCTTGGCATCCATAAATGCCAGGAGAGGTACCAAAGGAGCCTTTTTTATACTGTTCCGCACACTGCACCTGTTTTTAACAACTATCTGTTCACATAACAATCAAAATCTACTGTGACATACATATTCTATTTTTTGGGCATAGTCTTTTTCTATTTCTTGTTAAGGCAYTGTTTTAAGARATCAATTATAWGTTGTGTGCCTATAATAAATTTTATTAGTGATGTGTTGTAGGGTTGRTAACCTGCATAATCAAATTTTATTAATGCAATAATAAAAGTTTATTAACATTTTWTTAATGTGATAATAAAATTTTATTACTTTGTTAATAAAACTTATTTCAAMRATACTACTTTGACTAAAAAAATTAAATACATACAAAATGTACTTGAATTTTTGAATCCCACATCTGTGTGACCAAATAGTTTTCCAAATAGTTTTGCTTGCACATGCACCCTGTAGGCCTAGTACTAGTCAAAATTTAATCCCACAAGTCATTACACAGTAATTAGATGGCCAGTTMACCATGCACCATGTTATTCAACCATAACTGTTTTAATCATGAACTAACAGTCAAAGCTGTATCTTTGTCTCCACCAACAGACGCTTAACAATGATAAGCACATGGTTAAAAAGAGAATTTAGTAAAGAGTTTTCTAATACTGTGAGGGAGTAGGGTGTACAATAAGTATTGATTGATATTCGTGTATGTATATCTAGCATTGCTAATGTACGCCTGGGTCGTCTTTTTTTGCTTGGCCCATTTTATACAACAGAGAACCTCCAAATAAAAGATTTTTGATAACCCCTCTAATGAAGAACMATTCTGCCAGAGCATTAACTGTTATATTGACAGAATTTTGTGAAMGCTGTGCACTTTGCCCAAAAACTGAAAAAAACTCTGTTTCAGCCCTCTCCAGGAATACCAATTTCAGTGGAAAGAAGAATGGCACTAGAGATTTGCTCAGTGACATTTTCAGTGTTGAGGACAAGTCTTTTGGTCTCTTGATGCTGTACAGCAAACTTCATGCGTGGTTTGCTCTCTTTTGAGGCCGGTTTCAATTGTTACGAAACGCGTAGTAATGCCTAGGAGGGAGAAATGAAATGTCTGTCCGTATGCAGTCGTTTTTNAGGAATACCAATTTCAGTGGAAAGAAGAATGGCACTAGAGATTTGCTCAGTGACATTTTCAGTGTTGAGGACAAGTCTTTTGGTCTCTTGATGCTAAACAAACTTCATGCGTGGGAGTCTTCCCTCCTGAGAAAGAAAGAAAGTCAGTTTACTTTGAGTAGAAGAGATTCTGTGATCCAAGAAGTGGAAGGAGAGACAGGTGGGCCCCTAAGGGGAAGTTTCTGTACCACCTGTTGTGCACTTAAATTAATGAAGTGTGAAAGGATCCTCAAACAGGATTGAAGTTTGAAGAACAAATGAGGAAACAGTTCAGGGCAGAGTGCAGAAGGAAGAATAGTAGAGTTATACTACCAACAGAATCAGAACCTAAGGCTCAGACCTAAGGCAAGCTTACCATGAGCAAAGATGTTTATGTTTGCAAAAGGTTCACGGACCTACCTGATGACCCCATCAAGAGTGCTCAAAACAATGTACTCATGGGGGCAGTGGGGACGGTGCTGTCCAAGGAAGTATAGTATTTCATGAAAACACTTGTAGAATTCATTCATCATTAGTAAGAATAGTAACACAGTTCATCCTACAAAAAGGTAGTGATGTGGGCCTGCCTCTACATAGTACAATCGGGACCACAGGGTTGCAGATTAATTGTTCCACGACAGTGATTGCACAGTGGTTACTTGAGAATATTACTGTTTACTTGTATGAATCTCAGGTTTTAATATCATGAGTCAGGGTGAGGAGTAGTTACTGTCATTGTAAATGTTGAGGTTGTGTATCACGCCCCCCGGAGAAGAAATATTGAGCGGTGATTAAGCAAATAGATTAAAATGCAGTAGAATAAATTTGGTGCGCTGACTGAAGCATGCTGTGTCACAGAAATAATGAAGCAAAAAGGGGTCCTCTATACGCTTGAGAATCATAAATCCCCCCCTGTGTTAAGTGGCTGCACAAAATACATGTGCACAGGGGTGTGACCAAACCTCAGGAATAGTTCTTGGTGGTATGCTGGATACTAGTAGTAGTACTAGTACTACGTCACAAAAANAGGAATACCAATTTCAGTGGAAAGAAGAATGGCACTAGAGATTTGCTCAGTGACATTTTCAGTGTTGAGGACAAGTCTTTTGGTCTCTTGATGCTGTACAGCAAACTTCATGCGTGGTTTGCTCTCTTTTGAGGCCGGTTTCAATTGTTACGAAACGCGTAGTAATGCCTAGGAGGGAGAAATGAAATGTCTGTCCGTATGCAGTCGTTTTTGCGTTCACCAATCATCCTTCACGTCACAATCGCTTCGTTGAAATTTACGATAACAAACTTACCTCYCTAGTWCCGAAGTACAGGTAGTATCCTTYGTTCCTTCTATTTTTATTTTTTGATGTGAATGTGAAGCTCGATCAGTCGACAAGGAGTGATGAGAGTTATCGTACCGTAGTATTCAACGAATCTGGTAACTAATGCCGGTTGAGAGAATCGTCATTTGACACACAAGGAAGAAGAGACTTGCATAACAATCAAAGCTGTATCATAATGCCAAAAGCTAAGAGAAACGCAAGCTTAAACCGTGTGGCACGTCGAAGGGGTGTAGCTTTAGAAAATCTGCCTTCGCAAGAGACGAGAAAAAAAAATGAGAGTGGAGGAGGCGTTTCGAATGACAAGAAATTTGAGAAAGCTACCCCTTCTGTGGACCAGAAGAAACTCATCGTTGACAAATCGAATGCCGTACAAGAAGGCATCCAGAAGAATACCGCGAACAAAGATGATAGCATAAATCAACCAGACATTCCGCCGAAACAACAGCTGAGTCGTGGCCAAAGAAAACGATTAGCAAAGAGGGAGCAATTTTTGAAAAAGGAAAAGATGATTCTCTCCTCACTCATGCTCCAGCGACAAGAAGAACAAAAGAAGCGAATCGACGGGCTCGACGCTATCAAACAGGCGCTAATGGATACATCATTCAACGGCAGAAATCAAAGTAGCATTTCGATCAAACCACCTACTCAACATGTTTCGACAAACAAAGCTAAACGTAAATTAGTKGCAAAGGAAGTTGAACACATGAACCTTATACTTCAGCATCCAGCATTCAAAAACAACCCATTCGAAACGATGCAAGAACATTTGCGGAATACGTTAGCGGAGGAACGGAAACAGCAGGAAATATTGTCCAGGAAACGATCAGAAGAAGAGAAACAGAAGAACGAAGCAAAGAAATCAATAAAGAAGAAGTCGCAAAAAAAAAAATACAAACCACGGCGAACTAGATGAATGTGGTCACTTTATTSTTCAAGCAGTGTACGGAGTCGACACTTTTTCTGCAACAAAGATTTTAATCAATTTTCGCATTATTCAACATTCCTTCGTCATTGGATACACTAAATTCTGAAAATAAGTACCGTAGATCACCCAGTAAACTGTCMTCCTATGGTGTGTAGTCATATGAGAATCATTTTATATTCTCTCCTATGCCTGGTCTTTCCGCCTTCGCTTGTCATCCGGGGCGTGGAAATTTTCCCGATCATAGAACGAACGCAACAAAGTAATAGCCTCTTCCTCGAGTACTCCACTTTTGATTTCGTATCCTACGCTTTTGTTCGTCATTGTAGTCGGGTTGTTATCGCAGCCACCACGACCAATCTTTTGTAGCGTTGCCGTATCCTCTTTTTCGACTTGATGTAGATGCAGAATGGACCCACAGCCTCCAAATCTATCATTTTTACAGCCAAAAATAACTYTTCTAATCCCGACAGTTGCCAAAGCAGCAGCACACATTATGCAAGGCTATCCCAGAGAATTAAGGCTTGAGTGAGGAATGCAATTTTGTAGCACAGGATATCCAATTCGAATTCGAATTGCATTTAGACACAGATTTAAAATGTTATTCTCGATGCTTACCTCACACGTGACGTAGAGGTCACAGTGCCGAAAAATGTCTTCTGATCGAATCTCTCTCTCGATACTTATGTGTTCTTTATCCTCGTCTTGACCCAAGCTGGCACCGTTACAATCAAAATTATTTCTCCAGCCAAATGAATTTGTCCAATGACCAGAATTTGAAGGTTCATTTATCCATCGATCTTCCCATTGATCATTCCGAGCTTTTTGAACAGAATAAGGGACTCTATCACCTGCATGTGATGACTGGCCTTTTCGAGCCAAATCCGGCGGTAGCCGCATTTTATCGCTAGATACACCGTCTGTCAATAGACGATCAATGGCGACGACTTCAGCATGGCGAGTTGCATCTCTTGTGGCATTTACCTGATTGGCACCATGGGATATAACGACTCCAYGACGCTCTTCACCAATAGAACAAGATTCGTTTGTCTCGTTCTTACATATAATTTTATCCTTTTTCTTGACAACAGCCGGGTGATGTCTATCGAGAACAATCACGCAGCCCACGGGAACTTCTCCGATATCTAGAGCTCTCTTTGCAACTTCAAGCGATTTYCTCATAAAGTATTCATCGTCGTTGTCACCATCATGGTTGTGATCAGACACAGTTRCAGAATTTTTGATCATYGTYGGATGAATCGAAATTTAGATTCGAAAATACAGTGGATCTCGGTGATCATCTAGTATATGATTGATGTTRTCTTTATCGCGCGGTTCCCTCTGCACGCCATGGGTAAGAATATCCTTTGATACTGTCTAAATTGGAGTCATCGATCTAAGATTCTTTTGGACACCGACTATTTTTATGATGGTAAGTGTTGTTCGTTAATGATTGGCTTTCAGTTTTCAGTTTTGTTGGGGCGTTCGGCAGCGTTTTTGAGACGGAGTGCAGTTGTTCCTAATGAACTGCTAATAGCCTCTTGTTGAGGCAATAACAGGCAGGAACTAAATCACGTAGTAAATCACGAGTGAATAGTGAGTAACAGCGAACAGCGCATCCACTCAACACTCAACTCACTCTTTACTGTAAACACGTAGTTATACAACACTAAAGAGCATCTATATTTGCACTTGTAGCCTTGTCATCCCTTCTGGTATTGCTCAGCTCGTGCCATGGCTGTTCGGAAACGGGGGCTTGGAGTACTCTGAGGAACAACAGCATGGTGAGTTGCTGCTTGAGAAGTTGATGCTTGAGTAAACAGTTGAGTCAAACCTTGAGTTGATGCTTGAGTTGGAGCAGTAAGTTGAGTAAACTTAGGGGCCGGCAACAATGATTGAGTGGAAGCTTGAGATGCTTGAGTAGACTGAGAGGCTGGCACTATGTCACACCCGAGTTGGTGTCGCCACCACCACCAGCTGCTGAGTGAGCTGAGTCCATGTTGATATTTCTTGAGAAGTTGAGAAGGCTGACAAAGTGGAGGAGGATTGTTGATGTTGTTCTTGTTGTCCTTGGTGTCCTTGTCATTGTCCTCAAAGTTGGTGTTATTCTTACTAATAGTGTGTCCTTCTACCAAATCAAATGTCTCAGCATCTCCAATGGCTACCTTAACACCAATCAAATGCTTGATCTCCTTTGCAAGCCTCAATGCTGAAGTTATGTTTGGATTCCCAGTAGGAATTGATTTCCTGTGGAAGGAGGCATACTTCCTGGTTATAGTAGAGTCCTTGTCTCTCCCAGTATTCTTCCAGTTTTCTTCCTCATGGATATGTACAGCTTTCATCCATGCATTGTTCTGRTCCAATGGGAATGATCTTCCTCAAGATCTTAAGCATGCACATGGTTCTCCCTAAGAGTGTAGTTAGTGAAGCCATGGGGCCTTTCTCCTCTTTCTTGCACAGTTGACCCTGYGGCTGCTGGAGCTGGAGCCGCTGCTGTGACTGGTGGTGTTGGAGACATGGTCCTCCTTTTTTATGAGGGGCACTCATCACATACAGGATTTCAAGGTCATCCTCCCACTCTTCACCAAGGTCTTGCCTCTCAAGAAGACGCCTTTGGGACTCTTCCCCCTCTTAGCAAGCTCATCCATCCTCAACAACAGAAGAATATTGAGGGTTATTGTGTTATTTAGTATAGGGCTGCACAYGCCAGCCAATCCCATCAACATGGTCAGCACACTCCCCCTTTTGTTCCTTTTCTTCAGTGATACATTGTTCAGTTTCCTTGTCTTTGTTGAATGTGTTCTGCCTTGCCTTGCATGTGTTTGTGTTGCAAGTGTTCTGTTCTTGTTGAGGGGAAGCACCAAAGAAGATATACTTTTTCAAGAAGGAAGATCAAAATTTTTTCAGTTTTGGCTCCAAGTCGCTTTAGGAGGGCGCACCTGCTCATGAGACTGAAAATGTGCAGTCAAGAAGGATTCAATTTTATATGTGTCTCAAATACCCAGATCTTGGTTGTCATGGGCCCATGACGACCAGCAGTATCTGAGTATTTGAGGCACATTGGGTGATTCCTGCAAACATAGAWATATGTAAAAACGAGGCCGGCCAACTCRTTTTATGTMTCAAATTACATAAATTTTGGTTGTCATGGACCCACGACAACCAAGATCTGTGTATGGAGACATATTTTTTATTGGAATCCTTGAGTTAACATTTGGGCATGCGCACTAAATGTATGGATTCCAAATTCCAAAAATGGGGGGAAATATGTAATTTGAGCCAGCCGGCTGTGCCTTCAGTACCACTGAAAGTGATTCCTGAAAACATATCTCAATTCATGTTTTCGGGAATCGACCATTAACCGAGCTGGCCGGTCAAAAATTACATATTTCAATGTTTTCGGGAATGAGCSAATAGGATTTTTTGGTCCTGATGCTTAAAAACGTGCGGGTTGCACATCCCTCTAAATTATGACCTCTGGTACTACGCCTTTCGTAACAATTGAAACCGGTCTCRAAAAAGAGCAAAAAGTAATAATTTCAAGTTCTAAACTTCGATTTGAAGTTATGAACTTCAAAATGTCCCGGTAGAAAGTCTACGAGGTTCTACTGAGCTAGTTTTTGGATGGCATTCATGATTGAAAGGGCAGATTCATGATTGAATCACCTCAGAACCATTTTTTTTGTTTTGAGGGGCCCTGGGAATCGATTTGGCCATTCAGCAGTCATTTAAAAAACTTCATATTTTTTTTTTTACCTCAGTAGAACCTGGTACATGATGTACGAGCAAAAGTTCATAACTTCAAATTGAAGTTTAGAACTTGAAATTATTAGAAGTACTTTTTGCTCTTTATCGAGACCGGTTTCAATTGTTACGAAACGCGTAGTAAAGGTCTCKTAAGTTTCCTGTGTTCTTTCAACAAAAAAAAAATACAACCGCGTTGACACTAAAGTATGGAGAGAAACAAACAGCACGATTCCGAAAAGATGAAGATGGAAGAAAAACGAACCATAAATGCAGTGTTCATCGGTCATGCCAATGTCGGTAGGTGTGGGCTAAATGATTCATTGGCAGGATGATGCTTTGTATGATATCTTTTCCAATCCCAATGCTCAATGCTGTAATTGTTGTCGTACAATCTACAAGGAAAAAGTACAATATTTGGTCATTTGATTCGAGAATGTGGAGGAACAGACAATGCATCGATTGAAAAGTGCGAAAATGATGCCGAAGAAAAGGGTGAGGGATCTATGAAATATACTTGGCTCCTCGACCAAAGTGCGGCCGAAAGAGAACGCGGAACCATGATAAGCGGCAACCTCCGAAGACTCGAATCTACCAAGTATCATATAAATTTGATTGACACACCGGGTCACTGCGATTTCATTGAAAACACGACAACGAGGATATCACAAGCAGACGTTGCACTTTTATGTATAGATTCGTCGACAAGTGGCTATGGAAGAGGAATGGATGAAAATGGACAAACACGGCAGCACCCCTTGTTAGCCTACGCATTAGGAGTGAAACAGATGATTGTTATMGTGAATAAAATGGATGRTGATTCTGTCAATTTTTCGGAAGACCGCTGGAAAAYAATCCGGACTGAAGTTTCTAACTACCTCAGGATAGTTGGTTATAGGCCGATGAAAATTCCTTTCATTCCCATATCCGGCTGGCTCGGCGACAATCTTATCTCGAAGTCGATTYACATGCCATGGTACGATGGACCAACCTTATTGGAAGCTCTTGAGGATGTCAATGTTCCAAACAGATTTTCGACCAAACCTCTGCGAGTCCCTATTCAAGATATACAAAATGCTGGASCATCTGGAACCGTTCTAATTGGGCGTGTCGAAACTGGTGAGCTGAGGCCTGAGATGGAKGTTCAATTCGCCCCATCTGGAATAATTGGCACCGTTCAGTCGTTAGAAGTAGAATGCCGGGAAGTTAGTGAGGCCATCGGAGGTGACATTGTTACTATCAACATGCAAGACAAATCAAAACTTTCGAAACATCTTTGCCGTGGGCACATATTGTCGGACTCGAGTAATCATCCTGCCCAAGGTGTTTCTAGCTTCCAGGCACAGTTAATTATTATGAAGAATTATCAAGGAGAAATTTCAATAGGATACACACCCATCATCGATGTCCATACATCTCACACGCCATGCAAATTCGTCGACATCAAAACGAAGATGAATTCGCGAACCGGACAAGTTGTGGAAAAAAATCCCAGAAGTTTAAAAGCAGGAGATGCTTGTATTGCGGAATTACAACCACAGACACCTCTATGCGTCGAAGAATTTAAAAAGTTTCCCCCTCTGGGGAGGTTTCTTGTCCGTGGAGATTCTGGACAAACTGTCGCATTCGGAGTTGTCAAGTCGGTAATTTATTGAAGACGACAAGATTATAAGAAGCCAGGTACATAAAAAATTTCCATTTGTTTCAACGGATAAAAGGGTACACGTATAAGCTGTCCTCTAAATTTCAAAATGGACCGTCATGATCACAACGATAGAAATGACATTGAAATTTGCCATAGATGAAATCATGTGCTGAGTGCTAGCATCAATAGAATGACTGAAAATTCTCTAGTGCCTGTGTAAAGAGATAATCACAGAGCAGAGATCGAGGACCGAAATGCATCGTAGTTGATAAATATTGTTTATGCGTGTGTTAGTTTCTGATCGAAGAAGAAAATATTATAGATGATGTTTAGCTAGATCTATGACGTCTTTCATCGTCTGTGAAAAAAGAGGAGTATKTCTTGCGATAGATTATCAGGCTATTGCATCAACAAGAATTCGGCTTGAACCATTCATTGGTTCAACTTCMGTATTTTCTTCGTTCTCTTCGAGAAAATCTTCTTCGTCATCGAGATCCATGACAGACATCGAACGCGCAGTTTCTTTGGAAGCTTCATTCAGTTTCCTGGGATGCAGTCTCTTCTGTTTTCGCATTTTCGAAGAATGATCAGTGGGGCCCTGGCCTCTGAGCCCTCTAGAGGGACATTTAGGTGGGAGTTCCCCTTTATTCCCCTGCTTGATATTTTGATTTAGACCATTTGCAGAAGAAGCGGTAGGAGATACTACCGAAAGGGTTCCGACGATGGTTCCCGTGTCAATTATGTCCCTTGAACCACAAATTGACTGTGTTCTTTCTGAATCAGAATCCATGGATTCGGATGTTTTCACTTGAAGTTGTGCGACGACAAYACTATTAGCTGGTTTCTGTCGCTCTCGAAACTGCATAGGGAATGGCGATGATAATGATTTAGACGGAGGAAGCTGTTTGTTTGCAGAAATGATACAATCTGATGATTGTTCAATTGGCTTCATATTGCGAGTCACAGGTTGACTTCTTCTCGCTGGAAACGAGAATTTATTTGTTGATTCTGCTCCGCCAATCAATATCTGACAGCATCCAACTTGTGGAGTAGGAACAACAACCATGGATTGCCGTTGGACTGGAGTGCATGATTTTAGACAATATTTTTTCTTTTCCCTTCCCTTCTTTCGTAAATTAGCCACAGCTGTTTGGTAGGCCTGATTAGTCGAATYTCTTCTCTTCACGTCTCTCGAAGAGAAGGGTGGTCTAATCTCAGGAGCACAACTCTTCTCTCTTCGAAATGTCAAAACACCACAGACTCCTGACCATTCTACATCATTACTAGGGACTGAAATTAGCTCGATAGTATCATTGGAATCGTCGTGAATCGTACGAACTCTCCCTCTTGCGATGCCCTCTCTTATTTCGTCATCATTAATAGTGGATCGATTGCCTATATTCGTCGAAATGATGTGGCAATCGTTCTTGAGAAATTCTTTTTTCGCACTTCCTAAATATCCACCTCCAGTATCATCTTCTGCTTGTTTGTGCACCATGACAGTATCCTCATGTTYTGTTAGTGCAGTCCGTACTCTCTGTATGATGCTATTGTTCGAGCATTTGTCTAAATCTTCAGTATATGTATTGTTCACATCCAACAGACGTACGTGTCGGCCCTTGTTTTCTGAAAGCTCATCATTGGAGTCAATTACTGATATCGTMCTCTCGGAATTTACGGTAGGACTTGTACACTCAGTTGTTCCTGTTTCYATGAACTTCATGTCTTTAAGTTCGGWAACGAGCATTTCGACCTCAATTTCATCAGATCCCACTGATGCCGGTACCATCACAACTCTCGACATTTTGTGGTCAACACCTTTGTTGATTGACTTATTGTTCGACGAATTCGCAAAGTGACGTTTGCTTTGCTTGTTTTCACAGTAGCCTTTGGGGTTGGTCATCTTTCTTTCTTTCAATGTTATGGCCATATCGTCTATTGACTTTAAATTTGGTAGYATTGACAAAACGTAGAGACGTCGCATCCTCGCGCTGACCGCCATGTCATCTTCACCAGGAAATATATCTTCAGTAAGCGTTAAGTGTTCTAGGTTTACAAACACCTCGCTGATCATATCCAGCCAGTCAGAAAGTGTGTCCTTTTCATGATCAAGCCATAAATTCAACGATCGGACCCGAATTGCTGCACACTCTACCATTCCAATTCGGTATGCCGTCGGAGTCGACGGTCTTTTGCCGATGTTCATGACGGTACCATCTTGTCTATGACATCCTGCCTGGTCAGATATTTGTTGCCAGCGTTGATTCGATTCTCTATAAACTGAGTGATCAAACGGAAACAAATCTTCATCAGACGAGATAAGACGAGGAGATGTAAATACCAAACGTCGTTTTGGCTTCGATCTGCGTGGAGGGCGAAATTGTTGTCGTGACATCTGTTGTCTGTCGTCATCTCTTTCAGAAATTTTCTGCTCTTCAGGTGTAATCATATCTTTCAACATTCTTCGACTCCCAAGGCGTTTTCGAACGGGTTTCTTGTGTTTCTTCATCTCGCCACTGATATTGACACTGTACTTATCAGCCGTGGACGAGCTCGAATATGATTCTTGGCTGTCGCAACCGATATTGATGCTATACTTATCATCTTTGGAAGGACTTTTCGGAGATAACTTCGTAGTATGAGAACAAGATTGTTGACGGTCATATTCTTGCATCTCTGTTCGTTCCATTCTAGCTGTTTCTATTGCTTTATTCTTAGTAGAGAAATCGTGGAGACAATCTCGCTGAGCGTGAACAATWTCCCAAGTAATTGCTTTGATTGCGGTTGTACCCCCGGCTKCATACACAAGTACGTCCTCTAATCGCTCTACACATAGATTACAGCAAGGCGAACACGAGTGGTCGGATACAACAGCAGAGAGAGATGTTTCGAGTTGCGAAATTCTCCTATCGAAATCTTACAGTTGACGGATTCATTCCGCATTGATTCAAACTGCTGTGTCCGGCCTCTCGCCAAAAAAATAATTTTGATTTCTTACTTGTCTGTTACAATGTTTGTCATCCCCGCCCGGCTCTCTCACGCATGTGTACCGTATGAAACGCGACATAGTATGTAACGTAGTAGATATGTTCCCGTGAATGGTGATCTCAGATCTCATAGTACGGGTACTCGTACGTAAGACGTAATTACTGTACGGTACGTACGAAGTACGTACCAGTTAAAATTTGGTCTTCGATCAATCAAAGTGGGGATTGAGTGATGTGTGTGAATCAAATGGGTCAAGTCAATCACGTGAATCCATAGGATTGAATGAGTCATGAATGTAAAACGTGTATGAATCATAAATATGTGTCATATGTACCTATCATAGATATGAATCATACCCACAATCTGATATCMTAGTACCAACAGCATTGACTACCCAATTTTGGCCATACTGGCTGTTAATGKTGAACTGGCTCGCCCCACCAGGCCTATTTAAGACTATGATGGACGAGCATATCCCGAAACAAGGGGATCTTGGTAGAGCCAGTTCTAGAGCACTTCTAGTASTAATGGTCTCCTCATAAAGACTACTGTTTTGATCAAGTTCAAAGCAACCAATTAAAAGTTGAACAAAAAACTCAAAATAGTACAATCTCCCCCCCTGAAATTTTCAACCCTTTTGTCACATACAAGTACAGAACTTCTACTAATTAAAGTGATTGTTTAGTAAAATTGTTCCTTGTTTTCCTTCTGTGTTCTGTAACAGACTGCACTGAAAACACACACAATAATGTAAATCAAAATTGACTTACAATATTGTGCTTGTTGGTACCACACCTACAGCATGTATTTTCTACAGCATTATTCCAATAAGGGATCATCAATCAATAATTTTGGAATGGTGTTCCACAGGGCCATCAGTGAGTAATTTCAGAACAGTGTTCCACAATGTACTCCTAAACCAGCATTATTCCCAGAACATCCCTTGCTGTCCCAGGGAGGGACTTCATGTGTTACCACCATTATGACAAAACCAACATTTCACACAACCAACTTGGCATTAAGTGCACCTGGAAAGAAGACATAATTTTCTAATTTTTGGTATTAAAAAAGACTGCAGTGAAAACACACAAAATAATGTAAATTCAAAATTGATTTRGAATATTGTGCGTGTTGATTACCAGTGCAAGTATTCACATGAGTACGAGTACCAAATGCACTGTACCATTACTACTTGTACAGCAAGAAGAAATAAAAAAGAAAGCAGTGCATGAAATGTACAGAGACTCRTTCAATTGAAAGCACTACTGTYACTCCACATTCAAAACACTGTACTTGTACATTCTGTACAGACATGTACCATAASCATAGAGATGTTCTTTTTGTCAATTATTCATTTAATTTGAAGCACCATTGTTACTTCACATTCAAAGAACTGTTGTCATAGTGTATTCACACCACCATTCTCACTCCACATTGCCAATGTTAACCCAAAAAGACATTTTTAAGTGTGCCATTGTTTACATTTTGATGGGTTTGATATGTTTCAGTTGCATTTCCTCATCTCAGATCATTTGCAGCAATTATTTTTATGACCTCTGACAACAAGATATTCATAGCAACTTCAACCATGACTGAATCACAGGATATTAATGTGTCTAGTAGTAGGTCTTCTGATAGTGAAAATACTGCTGTAGAGATGAAATTATTTCAAGATTCAACCATTCTTGTGGATAAAGATTACTTCTACAATTAATCTCAACCAGTCACAAAAGAAATGTGCCAAAGATTGGTCAAMTAGCTGCTCATACTACAATACAAAATAATTATGGTAAAAAATGGCAAAAATAAGAGGTGCTATCAGTTATTAGAGAAAATGCTTTCAATGAAAGAATAAGACTCCTGTATGCCTTCAATGGAAAATGGAAGGAGCTAAAGCAAGCATTGCCTGAAACTTGTTGGAAAAAGTTGCCCAAGGCTGAAACAATGAAAAAATACTTAAGAATGTACTGGAGATGAATCAAATGGTACATGACAAAGGTTGAGTACCCCCAGCGTCTGATGGATTGTATTTTGATAGTGATATRATAAGTGAAAATACAAAATATAATATTGCAACAATGGAATCTTTGTTTGCATATTATATATCAAATAAATCTCTATTGGACCTTGCAAATAATGGTGATCCTACCCAATTGATTTTCAATATGCAATTGAACAAAAAGCAAGACACTTTTACTGAAGAATACAATGGCACATCTAAACCTTCTATCATGCAATTGTGGAAATAGATGCATTATCCCTGTGGACCACAAGCTTAGTAAAAACAAAAAACACTATGCTTTAACTGGAGCAGTTGAAGGGCAAACAAACATTTCAGGAAGATGACTCTTTTTACACAATTTACCTTTGAGAACTTAGAAACTACAACCTCCTTCTTTCAACAATTGGGCATACTAATGTGGAGGGATGTGAAGACAAGATTTCAATTTGGGTGTCTGGTGAAGATAAAGTTGATGGGGCCAAATGTCATGCAAGGGCAAAGTTAATCTTTTGCTCACCTATAAGGCTTTGTCTATGATTTGCAAACAATACTATGAGATCATTGCAAAATTTTTCAATATTCATATCTACCTTGGAGAAGTCCTCAGTATTAAGTTGAAGCCTGACTTCATAGTGAAACAATAGTGATGAGACTGRATTATTGTTGCCCCTTCCATTTTAGACTCAGTTAATGCTTTTATGTCCTCTCAATTCTGTATGATTGACAAATATAATTTATCTGYAGCTTTCTTGACACAGTTGTGTGCTTTTCCATTCCTCATTATCAAGTGGTTGGTATATGACAAGAAAATATCTGTTTCAGCATAAAGATTTTCTTCTCTTGTCAGCAACATTGTTGATCTTCACACACACACACACACACACACACACACACACACACACACACACACACACACACACACACACACACACACACACACACACACACACACACAAGTTCCTTTTGGGCCTGTGACTTATGGGCTCTTTTTTCTTCAGGGTTGAGTGCTTTGTGGCGGTGGAAGGTGAGGAGTTTGCATTTGTTTGGRTGTAGGTATATGATTTGGAGGATATTTTGACGTGTCCTAACGGTGCAAAGACTGGTGAAGCTCTGTTGGTGTCAAGGATTGCCTGGCACAAATGTTCTGGGTTCCATGGTTGTGGGGTGTTGTTGGGTGTTGGGTGTTGGGTGTTGGGTGTTGGGTGTTGGGTGTTGGGTGTTGGTGGGGGATGCTCCTTTAGGATGGTGGCAATGGTGTCACAAGCTCAGGGATAAGGGTGAGGGGAGGCGTGATAGCAGTCTAAGCTTTGATAGAATTGTTTGTACAAATTTGACTTTGTGACCATATTGTTTTGGTTGATTGTTAGTTCATTTTTCTTGGAGTTGCGTTRCCAAAATTTGTTTTTTGTTGGCRGTGTTTGCTGAATTTATTTAGTCCCTGTTCTTGTTGCTGTCAGCTTTATTATTGTTTTTGATGTTTGTTCTTGTTTTTTTGTTTTGGTTGGGCATATTGGTTTTGTGCATGTCAGGGTGTCAGCTTGTGTCAGTTGGTGTCAGTGTGCTGACGGGGTTCTTCACATGGTTGACTGTTCAGGTTGTCTGTGGTTCTGGATTTCTGGGGTGGTGTCTGTCTGTTAAAATTTGTTTTTGTGTTTGGCAAATTTTGTGTTCAGTTTGGCGACTTTTTGGTCATTTTTTCTTTCTTGGGGTGTGTGTTTTGGTGTTGGTGGCACTGCAGCGCTGGGGGCACTCTTTGCTTAGTTTTTTTTTGTAAGGGTTGTGTTGTGCACTAGTAGTTGATATTTCACTGGCTGTGGTGTGTTTTGTTGTGCTGATATTTGGATGGACAGTATACTGACATGGTGGGAGTGCTGTTTGCCTCCTGTTGTAAATGGTGGTATATGTTCTGTTTGARGGTCATTCGTTCTTGTTGTGTTTTCACCAGGAGATTCCTTCTTGTGTTCTTGTATCATGGTTGTTGGTGAGTTTCATTCTGCGGTTATGATAGTGATGTGTTGGAGTGGTGAATCTTTCCTCTTTCAAATTATGTCTCATCCTACCATGGCAGTCCTTCACAGCAATACTTTCAAGAATGAGGCCAAGGATTATTGAGGTGCAATTATAGAATTTGCGAAGTTGCTGCTTTGTCTGGTTAGCGGTTTCTGTCTGTCCGTCGTTTCCAATACTCAAAAAGACTTATCAAAATAAATCAACACGGTTCAAAAATGAAAATTCTAAAATGAAAATTCACGGACCAGTGATTTTCGATTTTGTTCGTACCATGCTACATACTTTGAACAGAAAAGCAAAACATCACCTCAGTAGATACCTGCATTAGCGGTACGAAAAGAATGTTTATCACCATCATCTATCGCTCTACCTCATCCAATATTCTAGAAGCCCAGTGTCGAAGCATTCACAACACATAAACCCAACAATTACGAATCAATCACCATGGCAAAAAGCAAGAACGCAAAAAAGAAGAATCATGTTAGCAAGCATATATTGAAAGCACGACAAGATGACACTGCTACAACAGATGACGTGGATGGCAAGAGTTCAAAGTCGATGAAAAAGAAAAAGGGGAAAACCAACAGTCACATAAAGCATCCGGATGAAATATCTTCCTATCTCACACAGTGGAAGGCAAGCAAAAGTGAGGACTCATCGGTACGAGCTTCGTCGCAGTGGAAATTCAACAAAAACACACAAAGCTGGATGATCCGTCATATGTACGAAGCAGACAAGATGCCAAAATCTTCATTCATGCTGTTGTTGGAATATTTGGAGGGACTGGAAGGAAAGACTATCAAGGATAGAATGCGTTCAGATGCTTCTCGGCGATGTCGAAGACACAAGGAATACTGTAAACACAATCCTGATGAAAACAAAAAAGGGGGCGAAACGGAGAAAGGAACCGAAGACAAAGAAGGCGACGATGGACAAGCAGAGGAAAAAAGCTCTRGGGCGGCAGTCGTCTTTACTGGGGATGCAGAGCTCGAATACGAAGAGGCAATGTGGAAAAAATTGAATGATCACGAAAAGAGGAGACAATATAAGCGAGCAAGGAAAATTCTGGATCTGATGAAAAACTGAAAAACGAGAATACCGACAGAGCAACTGAAAGATGAGACGAGAAAACAGTTCAATGCGCACATATTCTCTGTGGCAGTTGTTTGAATGTTCTACTGCAGAGTTGGTCAACCAAATTGCAACGAACACAACACRTATGTCGAAGCTAGCACTCAAATGAGGATGGGATTCGCATGTATTGGATTACTATTACTCAAGCATTGGCTTTGGATTTAGCATAATTTTCTGCCATCAATTTTCGTTTGCATTGCTTTCGTCATCCGAGCTATCATCGTCTAGCACGTTTTTTCTTCTCTTAGTTGTAGATTTAGTTTCTACTGCAGATGCAAATATCCCCTCGTCATCCGAGGTATCGTCTTCAAATTCTCTGTCTCGCTTTTTCGTTGCCMCTGAAGACTCAGGTAGTTCAACCTCAATCATGCCGTCTTCAGTTTCTAGTCGTTTATTGCCTTCGATTCTTCTTTCGTCTAGAGTTTCTTTTTTGTCACCTGCGTCCTTCTCATCGGCGGATGGGAGCTGAGAAACTGTGTCTCCGGTAAATTCGTGCTCCGCTTCGTCGTCGTCGTCGTCGTCGTCGTCGTCGTCGTCGTCGTCGTCCCCGTCCTCTGGACCACCACGGAGCGCTCGGTTTTCTCCGTCATCTGCTTCTTCTCTGAGCTGATCTTCCCGAAGACTCTGCCTCTCTGCCATCATTCGAAGCTCGTCGTTGATGTAAAAATTGGTCACGGATTCACAGAACCGATGGGGTGAAGCATGTTGAAACAGGCACTCTACATAAAGCATCGAATTTTGATCCGCCGCACAAAAGAACTTGTACATAAGACCGGTGCAAAAGGTGATCACCGACTCGAACCCCTTRTCTTTTTGGATCGAGGCATCGTTTAGGATGCGTTCCATGACAAGAATAAGTTGAAGGTTGTACAGCATTGGCTCCAGTGTCACCCGACGGGTCCCGAGCGGACTTACGAATGTTTCGGCATCTGCGACGTCGGGGATAGCAATTTCGAGGCGCATCACCCTCGTGAACATAGTGATGATGCGGTGGTTCACAACGGCAGCATTCACCTTGTACTGGTCTAGCAAATATCCGTACATCGAAACCAGCTGGTTGGAAACAATCTTGCGAACGAAATAGGATTTCACGTCAAATTCAGCGGCATCTTTTCTCATTTTGGCAATTTTCTGGGAAGTTTTTACCTTGTCGGCGGTTTCGGTCGTGGCGCTCTTGTTCTCGAGAAACTCGATTCCCTTCTTGGTGTTGGTCTCCAGTAGTTTCAGAGATACGTGGGCGGTTTCGACCAGGTCACAAAGGTACTCGCGGGTATACGTCCCCGGTGTCCACCGGCTCAGTAACTTTGGAAGCTGGTCTAGGGCATCCTGACCGTGATAAAAGAGGCGATCGATGAGACCCATGGCCATTTCGTGTTCGGTTTTGTCTCGAGAGGTGTACATGCTGTGCAACAGATGCATCATTTCGGCATATAAGGCCACCGCTTGGGCCAGTCGTGTGTACTTCTTTTGCTGATAAAAGGTTTCTGTAGAAGTCAGTACTAAGTTAAACGTAAAGACGTCCATCGTAATGATCAGGCGACCAATGGCCTCCTTGTTGTCTTCGTTGCTTTCTCGGCGAGAGGAGGACGCTGCCCTGGACCACTGGGAGAAGAACCACACCAGCTTGAAAAAGACAACCTTGTCCTTCTCTTCGAGCCGCTGGGAATCCCGGCGAAACTCGTTCTTGATCGACTTCATAAAGGGACCGTAGCAGTCGGCGAGGAACCGCTTGCAAAAGGCGTGGAGGGTCCGGTGGGCACGCTTCGCCGACGTTCCACCGGCGGTCCCACCAGGAGACCGGGTGTGCGCCAGGAGCGTCTTGCCCGATCCTATAAAAGGCTCGGCCAGCTTGTTCGTTCTCCGGGCTATGCCCCGGCTCTGCGACGAGGCAGGGCCCTGCATCACCGTAGCAGCGCCGACGAACCGGCGGTTCCCACCCGCCTGCTTGCGCATCCAGGTTCCGGAAAAGTGGCCGTGGCGGACCGACTTGAGAGACCGTTGCTGGGCCTTTTCTTCCCTCAGCCGGGAGGCCAGGGCCGAGGACGAGGAGGACGAGGACGCACCGAATCTTCCGCCGCTGCTCCCGGGCGGTCCGGCGATGCGGTGGCTTGCGGTGCGATTCGATGCGTTTCGGTCGGTGGCCCCTTCCCCGCGTGCGGAAGAATGCTGGGCCGACCGCGCCACTGCGGTCGGATCCTGCGCCTTGACCATGTGGTGCAGGATTTCCATCACGAGGAGGTTGTATTGGGCGTTCTCCCTCAGTTCCATCTCTTGGCCCAGCACGAGCAGGATGTCCAGAACGAGTTCTCGCTCAAAGAGGGTGATCATGTCCTGGTGGAGCTGGGCGGCCCCTCGGGAGGTTTCGGGAGACGCTGGGGTGRTATACGTTTGCAAACACAAAATGAGCGGGGTGAGTGGAGTGACATTGCATCGGGATACGCCGTGGCGGGCATTGTTTCTGCGAGGCGSGTGCCGCACTGCACACCAAAAGACATCGTTGCGYGTTGCAAAGCCCGCAAAGGTGATTTTTCGACTCACTGTTCAGGATGGGTTGCGCCGAGAGCAGGTTTCGAATCAGATGCAGCACCAGCTCGATCGTCAGGTGGTCTGCGTCGGTCCGGGAGGCCCCCGATCTCGAAAGGGGTTCCGCCAGCAGCGAGACAAAGACGGAGAGCAGGCCGGTTCCCTTTTTCCGTTGGTTCCTGCCCTTCTTGGTGTTTTGGTGGTGGGAGGGGTGAAAGGCCACGATCCGCTTGTATTCCATCCGCTGCTCGGCCTGCGCCAGGGCGTTTTCCCGCAGCTTGATCTGCTGCGCCACGACGGCCGGGTCCGACTTGGGGGAAGAGGTGTCGATGATCATCTGGCCGGCCCGCAGYGTGTTCCCCGCCGGCGGCTTGGTCAGTATGACCAGTATCTTGAGGACGGTCAGCACGATCGGCGTGTCGTACCGGCAGGTCACMACGAGCGGGAGGAGCTTCTGCTCCACGATCTTCCACTTGCCCAGCAGCAGGGAGATCGGCCGGTAGAGGTCGTCGTCCCGCCGCAGGGCGCGCTGCAGGTCCTGCAACCAGTTGAGGCAGTCCGTGACGGGGACCAGATCGTTTCCGTCCGTCGTGGTGGTTCCGATTACMCCGCAGACCAAGAGGAGCTCGTCGACGACGTTCTTCTCGACCGAGAGGCGGCGATCGAGGGACGTGTGGACGTTTGCCACCATCCTGGCGCGCTGATTTTTGCTCGTGCCTTTCTTCTTGGGTTGCTGGGGGGTAATGACGTTGTTGTTGTTGTTGTTGTTGTTGCTGTTGTTGTTGTTGTTGTTGCTGCTGCTGCTCTCGTCGACTTCGTCGTTGACATTGACGTCGAAGCCCGACGTAGTCCCGACGCCGCTTTTCTGGCGGGATTCTCTCGCGAAAGGCACTGCGATGGACGACATTGCGGGCGTGGCAGGGTGGCTCCTACTTGCTGTTGTTGCCAGTTCTGGATGTGGCTGTGGCTGTAGCTGTCGCTTTCGATGCAACGAGGTGCTGCGTTCTTTGTGGAGAGAGATGTTTGGCGAGACCGTCCGGGGAAGACGACGCAAKAGGCAATGGTTGGCTTTGCTACGGTACGTGCGAGTGGTATTGTGTGCTCCCGGTTGTTTTGCAGGTTGGATGACAAGAACGGAAGAAAAGGTACTACCGTACGGTATGCAAGTTGCCGGCACCRGACCGGTGTGTTCGCAAAAAGCTATTGTTACAGGGTAAGACTGCGTAGACCTTGCAGACCATTTTGGCGGGCCGCTTTTTCYATGGCATTGGACTTYRGAACCCGGTAGTAGATAATTATTTTCCTTTCAGCTGGTGCTTCAAATATGGCGCGAAGAATACTGAACGAGGTTTCTCATTCACAGAATAGTTCAGTCACGACCTTAATTCATTCGTGCGGCCTCTTTTACCAGTCCCTCCCGTACGGGTGGGTACGGTACGCAGGGGTCATAAATATAGGACCCCTGTGGGTACGTAGGTACGAGTACGTACGCTGTAAGACGTATGGTACAGTACGATTATTTCCATCCTTCACGTCCTACGTAGTAGGAGTACGAGTACGTGCGTACCTGTAGATATCCGAACAGAACGATGTGAGAAGAGCGAACACTGAAAACCGTTCAAAGGGTTCGGTGGCAATCGGGAATTTCGTCCAATCAGATTGAATCACACGGTCCCAAGGCGCAAACTGTGACTCGAAGGGTGCCACGGGTTGTCTCGTTCACAATAAATTGCGCGCACCTTGATGTTTCGTTTCGTTTCGTTTTCCTTTGCTTTGCTTTGTACTTTGTACTTTGTACTTCGTACTTCGTTTCGTTTCGTTTACGGGAACAGAGTTGTTGCCCCCCGCATTTCCATCGCTTCGAGGAAAAAAAAAAACAACTCATTCCAGGCACCGAACGCAAAGCGATCCGCCCAGAGGCCGATCCAGCTCTCTCCTCTACTTGCACAGCAATGATGCAGACCGGTACTTGTGCTCCCATGGATGCTTCTTCTCCTCCTCGTCCTCCTTCCCCGCGGCATCCGGAGAGTCCTTCCGCTGCCCCGGGTCCCGCGGATAGTCTTGGTTGCGGGAACGATCGTTCTCCCGACGCCCCGCTGCCGTCGCCGCTSGTTCGTTTCGAGGCGCGGTACTACCTAACCTCGCCGAGGCACCGGTCCCTCTTTGTCCGGCAGCGCTGCTACGTGCACTATCGGGCYACCTACGGGCGRTGGCCGGCGCCCGGSGCCCGCCGTGGGCTCCCTCCGGCYCGCAACGACGGAGACAACAGCGACGGCGACAACAGCGACGTCTTCCTCGGCCACAACCCCTGGAAGCGGTCGCCGCCGCGGTCGCCCCTGGTGCGCCAGGATGCCTTTCGATCCGGTGGGCCCCCCGGAAGCCCGGACTACAGAAGTGCATACAGAAGTGCATGCAGAAGTGCACACAGAAGTGCACACAGAAGTGCACCCAGCGATGCATACAGCCGCAGCGCCAGCGGGGCCCGCCGCCGGAGGGATCCCGGGCAAAACGGCCAGAGACGCGACGGCGGCACCCGGCTCTTGGCGGAAGGCGTCCGGAAACAGCCGGCGCTCGGCGCGTGCGGCAGGGCCCGGCTTCGGTTGCCGGCAGGGAATGCCCTCTCCGGTGTCTCTCCGCTCCGGCACCAAAGCGGCGCGCGTGGTGGCTCGCCGAACGGTCCGCCCGGGGAAGGCCCTGCACAAAAGCGTTGGTTCTTCGATCCACTCATATCCAAAACCTCCGCCATGAACAACTTTTTGGAATAGTTGCTCACTTGTCGTCACGCCAAGAAGAAGAAATCAATTTCTCACTACACCACATCACCATCATCAGATGTATGATAAACAGTAGTGGCAGTAGTAGCAGTAGTAGTAGTAGTAGTAGTAGTAGTAGTAGTAGTAGTAGTAGTAGTAGTAGTAGTGAACATAGTAGTTGCTACAGGTACTTTATAGCAACTTGACAATGCACATTTTTTGCAACCGATGGCAAGAGGATTGTTGTTTGGTACAGTTTTCTTGAAGAGTTTAGTAGGATGATTCATGAGTGGAATCCCAAGAACCCTAGCCCCAGCTTCTACTGTTTTGAGCCAGGCATCTCTTTCAAGATGGACTAGAAGACTTGTTGAGCATTACCAAATGACCAGAAATACTACCTTCTGCTAGCTATTGATTGAACCAGCCATAATTGGTGGTCCTAATACAGACAGTACTAGTTCAAACAAATTTGCTGGACTGGTGCTACCAAGACTGGTGCTGATTATATCTAGTAAGCTAGAACATCCTCCTGTGTCACCACAAAATGGTGCAGCAGCAGCACCAGGATACCTTTATTGTTGTCCTTTGTATTCTTCTTGCTTCTTCTTCTTTTGTTGTTGTTGTTGTTGTTGTTGTTGTTGNCAGGCTTCTTGGGGAGGAACAGTAGGCACCCGTTGACCTCAGACAAAAAAAGCAAATGATACAGCACTAGCGTTCTCCTCGTAGTAGTATTTTTGGACGGAGGAAGGAAGAAAAATAATGCGTGGTGTACTGGGCGTTTTGCCGGAAGTTTCGATTTCGATTCAAAATTGCGCGCATTTCACTGAACTCATTTGCAAGTCTGAATTTTCGTCGTGAACGTCATGCTGTACTGTACCGTACGGTACACTAGTAATACGTACGTAGATGTGCGAGCGAGTTCGAAAACCTCGCAGAGTGTAACGGTACCAGGTACCGGTACGTGCTACCAAAGTTATGCTGTACGGTACGAGGGCCAAGAAAAACGTTGGTGATCCCTTTTACTAACGTACGTATGTCCGCATTCCTACGACTGGTACGGCTACGTACTCTTACCCATATGAATACCTTACCCACAGATACCCACAAATTGCTCTGTTTCCCCCGCCAGAACCCAGAACCACTAGGAAATACCGTCCCTCACTAGAACAGGACAAGGACTCCAGAAACAAAAAACAGCGAGATTGCTTGCAMGGCATCCGTTGATTGATTCGACGCTATGAGTGACAACAATACGGACGTACTCGAGCCCCGGGCYGTGACCCGGGATCTKTTCTCCGCCGCCATCGGCAGCGTTGCCTGCTGCTACGTTGGCCAGCCCTTCGATACCGTCAAGGTTCGGATGCAGACAAGTCCCGATCAGTTTTCGAGCGTAGCTGGATCGACCAGCCAGATTTTACGAAACGAAGGAATCACGGCCTTCTGGAAGGGTGCCCTTCCCACGTCGGGCGGAATGATAATGGAGAATTGCATGGCCTTTGGCGTCAACGAGGCACTGAAACGCGCGTTTCCGGACAAAAACGATGGTGCCATCCAGGAAGGACCGCCGAGTCTCTGGAAACCATTTGCAATGGGTGCCATCACCGGTTGCTGCTCCGCAACGGTTCTTCTGCCCAGCGAGATTGTCAAGGCCAAGACGCAGATTTCGACGGAACGAAACATCACGTCCCAACAAATTGTTCGACAAATGATCAAGAAGCAGGGCCTGAGATCGTTCTTTGTAGGATTTGACGCCCAGCTCTGTCGAGATTCATCGTTCTATGCTCTTTTTTTCGGAGGCTACGAATTATCGTGTTATTTCTTTCGCACTTTTGTTCCCAGCATGCCAGATGAATTGAACTACTTTCTTAGCGGTGGCATTGCGGGAATGGGCGGTTGGCTCTTTGCCATGCCCTTTGACGTACCAAAAACAAATGTGAGTTCCTGTATTTTTCTTTGGACAAGATWTTGTGCCCACAGCTATGGTGACGCTGATGTTTTCAAAAATACRCRGAGTGTCTCACATGTCTTTCGTTATGATACATAAAGGTACAATCCCGATACGACACAAAGGTGTTTGGCAGCTACTTTCCCGAATTAATCAAAATTGCAAAACAAAGAGGGGTAGGTGGGCTTTACGCCGGTCTCGGACCGACGTTAATACGTGCGTTCCCAGCGAACGCTGCTTTGTTCCTTGGAGTGGAGAGTGGGAAAAAGGTTTTTGATAATTTGGTGTGGAAGGAGTGAGTACGCCGAGACGCGAATCGCCGTGCTGTAACCTGTACCTATCTCCGTACCAGCCGACAAGACAGGTCTTGAGARWAATCATGCGTCAGAAGAGCAATTGTAGAATATGAAGTTATGGTTCAACWTTTCTTTAGCAAGCGATACTCGTTGAAAGTCGTCGTATCCAAAGCCGACTCCTCCTGACACGACRMATCCAAAACAATAGATGGTTTGTATCTAAGGATTTGTAATAGAGCAGCGTCAAATAGCGACTAAAATCCACACATKTGATTTCYTAAAGCAAACGTGACACCGTAATTGTTGCTAGAATTGGACRGAGTAGCATAAATTAGAACAGGTACTATTGACAAATAATAACTTTTGCATTTCAAGATGAAGGTTACTGTGTGGCGACCAATCATTTTCTCCACAGAGCAGGCATTAAGGTCAACTCTATTTACTATCGCTTTTGTGGTCACACAAACCAAATTTGTCGACATCAGTCAGCGTTCGGTTTCTATYGARGCAATCATCGTCGATATGCATCAGTGGCCGCCGCTTCAATGGAGGAATATCCAAAAAGAACGAATCTATCGTAGGTTTCTTTTGATGGACACTGCAAAATCCACAAGCCTCGTCTTCTATAGTCTCGTTCAGCTGAAAGTCGCAAAAGATCGGGGGAATCAAATCATAATTCTTCCTGCAGTCATTTCGCGATCGAGGCAGATGTTCGGTCAGTGTGAGACCTCGTCGCAGCATCTCTGAATTTTTCGTGGACGTTTGGGTTAAATTTAGAAGTGTTTCATGTACATCGAACGGTGTTGTCCACTTCCGTGAATTTGAAGTGAATGCATTCATATCAATTTGATCTCTRACGAYAGATGGAATGTGAATGTATAGAATAGGTTCAGTTGCTTCTCTTCGGCCTTGTCTACTTGGAAAGTTCGGTCCATAGTGAAGGCCATGATCAGAGGTCACAATAATGACTGAATTTTCGAAGTARCCCTTCCTTTCAATCCTTTCCAAAAATTTAGACAGGCCAGAATCAAGGGTAGCTGACAATACCATCGTGTCCTCGTGGCTATCGACAAAATGCATGAACGATGCCCATCGTAAATTTGGATGGCTGGATCTCCTCAACTTTTCRTATCTTGAGATAAACTGCTCTCCATAGTCAAGAAGAAGCGACGATGCAAGATCAGGCCCTATACAATTCGGACGGGCAAAKGCATCAAAACAAAATAGTCCTTGTAGAGCGCTTCCATGCGTCGTATTCGGTGCCAGGCTTTGCATCATGTTTGAGTTTTCTATGCAGCTATCTTCCCCTTTTAATGTGATATAGCCTGCTATCCTCAGTCGGTCCCACAGCCACTTATCGGCACTATCGCTATCRTGACGAAGATTTCCTCGCTTTTCCAACTTTATTCCCGAGTACAARGCTGATTGATTTGGTCCTGAATTAGGCCCGACTGCTGTATATCTCTCGAATCTGAGAAAATCCAGTTTGCGAAGGATTTCATTAGTCTCTGGCATAGTTCGGTCGAAATGTGACCTACTTATTGGATCTAAAAGCAACAAGAGCACATTCGGACTCTTCGTATTACCGGAAATCAAGTCCTTGGAGATATTTTCATTGGATATTCGAGTCTTGCATCGACTYACCCCAGCCTTGTGGTGTATGCACAAAGCTTCTGAWTCCGACAATGTTTTCCCGTTCATCCRAAACGAGAATTCTTCATTTCCTTCGCTCCATAAATCCTCCTCCAAATATTCAATCGATTCGCTGTCTGACAAGGTTAGCCGCAACGAATTCTATCCGGAATAATCCGCAAATATTACGTTAGAAATCAAGAAACAAATTATAAGGATATATTGATACATATTCGCCATTCCGCAAAAGATAGACTGACCTCATTGAAGCTGAATTGCATGTTTTTATTCTTTGTTTCGGGGCATGATTTGAGAGGTGGGAGCTGATTCATTACCTGATCACCGAAAACGTCAATTTCCTTTTCCCCGTACTGGAAGTATGTTTGTGCCGTTGGAATTGCTAGATCCAGGCCTTGTGTTGCGAAAATGTAACTTGTAAACACTTCACCTTTCGATTCCCCATGAAAGTATGACGCGTCAGCTCCCCATTTCAGAAAGCCTTTCAATTGTTCAACAGATTGGAACAAGGCATTGGGACCGTACCGGTCAAAAATGTCTCTTTCATTACTTTGTTCGGCGTGATAATGWGAGCAAGACAAAGTCTGTACTTTGTATCTCTTTCGTAAAAGCGACTCTACTGCACCCATTCCACCRAATCTATAAGATCCATCTCCTAATCTGATTGCGTGAAGAGCAATCACAAGGTATGTCACGGTACAGCTTTCAAGAAACGAATCCGCATTCTTCCACACAGAGTCCTCCAAACCAAATGGCGAATCAAAGACTGCAAGTAGAATCCATTTTGGTACCTCCTTAGGGCTAGTCGACCACCAAAAGTTGGAATGGGTAGCATTTTTTAACGGTCCATGTGATTCTGAGTTAGTCAAGCCGTCGAAAGAACTCCACCAATCATCCAAAGTTGGGATATACTTCTCAACACCCGATCGGTTCTTGAAATAATTGTTGATTGCATGGATAGTATGACCCTCGGCTACTCCGTATCGAACAAAAGCAGCACCTATTGAATCCTGTTGGCTCATGTTAATACTGTGTACCTGCTTAGGATTTATCGTCTCAAAAGCTTGCTTAGCAAACGAAACAGCACCAGGTGCAACCACGAGGACATTTGAACTYGTAACGTGCCGTGATAAAACCCTACAGGCRAACTCTTTCAAGACAGCCCCGAACATGCCATCAWYGGTCTTTTCAGCAGAAATGAGGTGACTGACTGAGCTTTCTTCASGAGTTCTTGTCTCCTCCGATGAAGGAAATGATGGCTTCGTTTGGTCTGCCTTGGGAGAAACAAAGGATCTGCCGTCCACCAAATAATGATGGGTATCCCAAGGACCCTTGCTGCTTCCAATTTCATCAATATGAGTGCACAGTATCCAGAGTGTCGTCCCGAAGCAGWACAAAAGAAAAAGCAATGAAATTTTTAGGTAATTAACAGTCCTCCAGTACTTCCTTGTATTSAAMACAAAACATAGTTCTTCTGGACGCCGACGACGTTGCCTTTCTTGTCGTCGGATCCTTTCTTTCCTTGGGTTGATTTCTAGTGGCATTATAAATTGAGGATTCGTTTAGGTAAGAGTAACATTTAGATGCCGGTTTTGGTGGAAATCTATTCCTTCTGATTTACGATGCCTGTGCTCATCAGTGAGAATAGATGAGCTGTGGTGTTACAGGGCCATTACGAAATGAGAGTGGAATCGAGAACTGGGTCCCTCTGTTGTTTCAGCTAAACGAAAACGAGAAGAGGTTTGGTAGAATGAGCCTTCTACCGTATGAGTCTTCCTCACTTCGGCCATTTTTCTTCGTAACTCATTTTCATTTCAGTCATGACTTCAGTCGGAAGGCATGAGGCCCACGAATAAATGGACTCCAAATTACGTAAGTACCGTGGTTAAAATTGTACAACGTAGGTACCAGTAAATGATATTGTACTACCATACGGTACTGTATTTAGCATTTCGGCATGTTGCGCCAAAGTGTTGCATCAAAGTGGCGCCAAAAAGTATTTTCAATATGGCGCGAAATTCTCCCGTACAAAGACCATTCATGTCAAGGTTCAAAAACACTTCTCGTACTACCGGTACTCCGCCTTTCGACTCCCGTTCTCTATTTTCGACTGCCACTTCGCAAATAAGTAATAAGTAAGGAGTTAATGAAGAGAAACACAAAGGCGAAGTTGGACAAGGGACAACAGATCCAGGAGTGAAACTATAGAAAGCAAAATAAGCAATAGTCGCGAGAGAGAAGAGCAACTTCTTATTTAAAGGGACTGAATCCAGGTCTTTACTCTTTGCACTCAGATCTTTCTTAAAGGACTTGTCAGTATTTCATTTTGCTGCGATATTCGCGGAGGAACGGGCTGGATCGCACCAACGTTCATCGATCTAAAATTGGTGTCTTCGTCTTTCTCATAAAAAAGTTCCGTGCTCTTCGGAAGGCTGCAAGCGATGTCGGATTCAAATGCTGTTGTAACTTCTTCTACGGGAACACATTTCACTTGTGTTTTCAAAACGTTTAACGACAATGTTGACGAAATCGGGATAGGTAAAATTTCTGGAAAAGCCATTCTTTTACCAGAGGAGGGTAAGAAATCATCATACTTGCTGCAGCCAAAACAAGACGTGAGCCAAAAAAGTTCTGACGAGAATGAAGAGTCCGACTACTATTCTTTCCCAAAACCAGCACACCTCGTCGTTGAACGCAGCATGAATTCTAATGCTCCACCCGCCAACTCAAAAAGTCATCGCCCGTTCTTTTTTGGAGGTCTTCAAATCGTTTTTAGCGCAAAAAATATCGAAGTATATTTGACAAACTTAGACGAAAAAGAAACGTATTTGATGACATGTAAAGGGATTCCTTTTAGAGTGAAGAAGAAGGAAGATAACGCAATAAAATCTGTTCCAGAAAATCCCGATGGCATCGAATGGCGCCGAGCTATCTGTGTCGTTCCTGGCGGTCCACGCAACATATCTCGTCTCCGGATCAAGCCTACAGGGTCTTCATCGGAGACTGAATCTAAAACTATAAAGCTTCATTACTTGAAGCTGACTGCAAGAATAGTGAACAATTCTCCTAATGAGAGGACAGTAACAAACCCTCCCATCCCAACTACAACTTCACAAAGAATGGAACAAAGTCCTCGTCATCTAATTCCATCTATGGCGACTTTGGGGATGGGAGCTGTAGCTCCGACACAAATGCCACCATCAGAACCGCCACTTACTCAGTCTGATCTCGGCGCTGCAATGTCTGGATTATCCTTCATGGCCAGAAAAACGGAAGAGAACATGGCAAATTTATTTCGGCAACAATCAACGAAAATGGAAGAGCACATGAATTCCTGTTTCTCGGGGCTTGAAATGCAGATGTGCTCTTTGAAACATACGTTAGCGGCGCAATACCAATTAATCCAAGAAAATCAAATAATCATGAAAGAACAGCAGGGAATCATTGAGTATCAGACTGCTCAAATTGAGAAACTAGCGAACGATAATGATGAATTGAAGGAGAAGATGCGGTCACTACAAGAAGATATATCCATATTCAGGTTACAAGGACCTTGTAACAATGCCAACAAAGATGAAATAAAAAAAACGGTTGAAGAGAAGCGAATGGGTGCTGGTGGGTGTGGTTCCATGCTCTATGCTACAGAAGTTGACATGATGAACGGGATAAATGAGATGATCTCATTTCATATGAGCCCATTAATCACCGCACAAGATTCTACGATACCATTAAAGGATATCAGAAACAACAAAGACGACGAAGATTACACCCATACGTCAAACATTGAAGTAACGCTAGTTGAGGACGATCCGGTGACGGTAAATGAGCAGGTTGAGGATGAAGACAACAATGCTGACGATCATGACAATTACAGCGGTGATGATAATAACAATTATAGAGACGATTGTGAAGAAGCCTCTCGCAAACACGAATCCAATGGTGAACCATTACCAGAAGGACATGTCCACCTGTAGAGACTTCGACAGCATCCAGAGATGCCAAAATATAAATGTTTGCCTTGTACGCAAACGTACAAACTCTTGATGTAATTCATGCTCTGATTTTAGTTTTTTAGACTAGAATATATACAGACAAGTCATTAGATAGAAAGAAATGACATGTTTTTGCAATGGACAGTAAGTACAGCCAGTCACAACTACTAGTAGTACTCAAAACCAGGAAGGCTACAAATGCAGCAACCATGATTACTGCTAGACAAGAACTGATCTGAAGAGAATTCAAAAGCAAATAATGTGACAAGAAACAAGTCGTTCAATGAATAGGTGATCAAACCTCATGATGTTGTGAATTGCTGTATTTGTGCTCAATAATTTTTGGGTATGACATCAATTTTAAAGTTAGGGTTGACAATTTGGTCTTCTCATTGTGTGCGCTTCCTCGTCACCTTGGGATTCCTTGCCTGTGCATTGCTGTTTGTTCCTGATGTTGGTGGTGTACTGGGGATTAGCACCAGGCAGCAGATCATACTAATTGTAAGTAGAAGTGCTCCTGTTGTTGCTCTGCCACTGATGGAACAAATTCATTGTCATTCCAAGACCCCCCTTCCACATCTGATTAGTCTCTTTAGCAATCTGGCTAGCCTCTCTAGCCATCTGACTTGTCTCTCTGTCTCTCTCTTGCTAGCTCTTCAGATACTCAATAAAAGCAGCACCACCAGGAACACTGGATTTCTTCTGCTGATATGATCTCTTCTTGACACAAGTAGCTACATCAATGGGAAGTAGTATCTCTACCAGTATCAATTCCATGAAGGACTCTACACTAGTAGCTTGTCCTCTCAGTATTTTTCAATACCTAACTTGCCACTATTGTTTTTGCCAGCAGTTTGCTCCAACTTAACAAAAATACTATGGGGGATTGGGTAAGGAGCTTCCTCTTTGTGGTTGCCAGCCTCCTCCTCCTGCTCTCTTTGCTGCAACAAAGAAAGGAAATAGAACATATTAACAAAGAGCACTGATTGGGACATTAGTTTTGTGGTGTGATAGTCAATAGAGATGTAATTGTTAAAACTGGTGCTTGGTGATAGAGGCCCCTCGTCTATTTGTTGTTGATTAGGATAACTGAGTCTTCATTTTGGCAGGCCTTTCTGTTGAGTCTTTCAATGGACTCAATTTTTTTGTGGGTTTGCAAGAAGCACATGTGGGATCAGTACTAGTAGGGACCAATTGCAAGTTCTTGGGACTAGACCCACAAGTTTTGGACCTACACCCCATAGTAGTACTAGTACACTATTTTATACAATATTACCTAACTACTATATGATATCATTGAGAATTCATATTCTCTATCACAGGGCTTTCCAACAGAATAAGAACAGAACTCTTAGTTGTTTAACTTCTAGTAGAGTTCCCCTGTAGGATCACTACCAGGTTCTACAGGGAACAGGAACAGCTTAAAGTACTTTATATTCCTCTATAAAACCACCACAGGAAAGAGGAAGAGAGAAGATCTAGCTTTAGCTATCAAATAATTCATTATAATCCAGTTTACACACCATTTAAAAACACCAAGTACTATGCATTATTTTGTGCAGGGTCCCACTCTAAAAGCACCTCTGCTTGACAAAAGAATCAGGAACGGCATTTTTGACTCCTTGGGAAAATGTGTTACCTCTATCAACCCATATCATATAGCGTTGGCGTTTTAAAAAAGCATGATTGGATTGTACATTTTGAATCCAATATTCCTATACAAATATCAATATGTTCCACTACTACTAGGACCCCCCAACTCCCCCACATGACCATGATCCTCTCTTTATTATGAACACTATGGTGTGCTTAACTCTGTTAAGCGACTGTTGGACACCGCCAAGTTACAACTCAAACTGTCAGTTCAAGACTAAAACAGATATGGTTAAAAGATATGGTACGTAGATCATGGGTCATCTGTTTACCATGTAAAGACTACTTCAACTCAATACATTTCAGTCCCACAATGGAAACTCCTTACCTGAACTGCTATTTTTAGCTCACAAAATTTGGCCACTAATTGTGCAAACTTGATTCATTTGTTCTATCTCTGCTTTATCAGAAGAAACCGTGGCGGATCTATTCCTGGTACTCAGAACACAATGTGTCAGTCAGATTTCCTTCTCTTTACATTGAACAGGAACAACAAATCCTGTGAGGCAGGTGACCCCAGCTAAAAATGGAGGATAGTATTGAAAATAGAAGCAAGCAGCAAAACAAGCAAACTGAGCAACCCAAAAAACTAGACTTTCTAATCAAAGAAATACAAAAAGATGCAGATTGATGATACCACAAGAGCTCCCCAGAGTTGGTTCCCCCTTGATTGAGGGGAGTGCGCTTGTTTGATTATCCACATCCAAAGCTTAGGGTAAAATTAAACAGGAGGAGAGCAAAATTAAAAAAGGCAAGGCATCAAGCCAGGATCCTTGTATATTAAGGACCTAAGGCCTGTGCTCAAAAGCACTGGATGCCCAAGCGCAATTTTCCAATTGTAAAGGGCAACATGGAGATGAAGTGGCACTCAGCATCAAAGGCAAGGGAAGCAGCGAAGCTGATCAAGGAACAACAAATTGATTCAGATCTGGGATGGAAGATTAAAGTTGTAATGGATAGGTCCACACCTCCCCCCAGAGTTGCTGAGCCCCCTCAACCAGAAATAATGGACAATCATTCCCCTCAAGTACAGTTTGTCTTCAACCAAGACTGGAATTGGGCAGGTAGA